GCATAATTCTCAATGTAATTTTCTTTAATGTGGCATGAATGTTCAGATCCAAATGATTCAAAATAAAAGTTCATATTGATAAAAGAAATAGTAACACTTCAAGCATAATCATGTCTTCTCAAAATAACATGGCAAAAGAAAGTTCATCCCTACAAAATCATATAGTTAGGCTATGCTTCATTTTCGTCACACAAAGATGTTCCCAACTTCTATACCCCCGATGACAAGCCAAGCAATTGTTTCATACTTAAATAATCTCAAACTTTTTCAACCTTCACGCAATACATGAGCGTGAGCCATGGATATAGCACTATGGGTGGAATAGAATATGATGATGGGGATTGTGTGGAGAAGACAAAAAAGGAGAAAGTCTCACATTGACGAGGATAATCAACGGGCTATGGAGATGCCCATCAATTGATGTCAACATGAGGAGTAGGGATTGCCATGCAACGGATGCACTAGAGCTACAAATGAATGCTCAACAAAAGAAAACTAGTGGGTGTGCATCCAACTTGCTTGCTCACGAAGACCTAGGGCATTTGAGGAAGCCCATCGTAGGAATATACAAGCCAAGTTCTATAATGAAAAATTCCCACTAGTATGAAAAAGACAACTTATGAGACTCACTATATGCAAAACATGGTGCTACTTTGAATCACAAGTGTGGAAAAAGAGATAGTAGCATTGCCCTTTTATTTATTTTCTTTTTTTTCTTTCTTTTTTTTCTTTTTTTTCTTTGGACTTTCTTTTTTTCTTTTGGCCTTTCCTTATTTTTTTCTTTTTGGGCAATGCTCTAATAATGATGATCATCACACTTCTATTGATTACAACATATGAATTACAACTCAAAACTAGAACAAGATATGACTCTATATGAATGCCTCCGGCGGTGTACCGGGATGGTGCAATGAATCAAGAGTGACATGTATGAAAAATAATGCATGGTGGCTTTGCCACAAATACGATGTCAACTACATGATCATGCAATGGCAATATGACAGAAGTAGTGTATGTCATGATGATAAACGGAACGGTGGAAAGTTGCATGGCAATTTATCTCGGAATGGCTATGGAAATGCCATAAATAGGTAGGTATGGTGGCTGTTTTGAGGAAGATATAAGGAGGTTTATGTGTGATAGAGCGTATCGTATCACGGGGTTGGATGCACCGGCGAAGTTTGCACCAACTCTCAAGGTAAGAAAGGGCAATGCACGGTACCGAAGAGGCTAGCAATGGTGGAGAGGTAAAAGTGCGTATAATCCATGGACTCAACATTAGTCAAAAGAACTCATATACTAAATTTTTGCAATAAGGATATCCCCCTTATGAAGAGGCTATCCCCCTAGGAGCATGCGGTCGGGGATATCCAAGTACATTCATAAGGATATCCAAGTACATTCACTCAACATTAGGAAAAGACCATCGCTCGTCCCCGACCGCCACTCATAAGGATGCACAAGCCAGGTACAGTTCATGCTTCAAATTTGTTACACAGCTTTAACCATACGTGCATGCTACGTGACTTGCTAACTTCAACACAAGCATTCTTTAAATTCATAATCACGCAACTAGCATTACTTTAATATCACTACCTCCCTATATCAAAACAATCATCAAGTATCAAGTTGATCATAACATCCAATTCACTTCCTATGATATTTTTTATTATACCCAACTTGGATGCTCACCATTCTAGGACCAAATTATAACCATAGAAAATACCATGCTGTTCTAAAAGGCTCCCAAAATAATATAAGTGAAGCATGAGAGACTAGCAATTTCTATAAAATCAAGTCACCACCGTGCTCTAAAAGATATAAGTGAAGCACTAGAGCAAAAACTATCAAGCTCAAAAGATATAAGTGAAGCACATAGAGTATTCTAGCAAATTCTAAGCAAATAGGCTTCTCCCACAAGGTGTGTACAGCAAGGATTATTGTGTTAAACTAAAAAGCAAAGACTAATATAATTCATGATTCTCCAAGCAAAACACATATCATGTGGCGAATAAAAATATAGCTCCAAGTAAAGTTACCAATGAACGAAGACGAAAGAGGGGATGCCTTCCCGGGGCATCCCCAAGCTTAGAATTTTGGATATCCTTGAATATCTTGGGGTTCCTTGGGCATCCCCAAGCTTAGGCTCTTGCCACCCTTTATTCCATAGTCCATAAAAGCTTTACCCAAAACTTGAAAACTTCACAACACAAAACTCAACAGGAAATCTTATAAGCTCCGTTAGTGAAAGAAAACAAAACCACCACATAAGGTACTGTAACAAACTCATTCTTTATTTATTTTGGTGTTAAACCTACTGTATTCCAACTTCTCTATGGTTTATAAACTATTTTACTAGCCATAGATGCATCAAAATAAGCAAACAACACACAAAAAACAGAATCTGTCAAAAACAGAACAGTCTGTAGCAATCTGTAACTAACGCAAACTTCTGGAACTATAAAACTCCTACCAAAATAGGAAGTACTGTAAAATTTGTTTATTGATCAGCATCAAAAAGAATCACTGCAAAAGCACGTTTCTGTGATTTATTGAATTTTTTCTCGTGAGCGCAAAGTTTCTGTTTTTCAGCAGAATCAAATCAACTATCATCATAGTTTATCCTATAGGTTCTACTTGGCACAAACACTAATTAAAATATAAAAACACATCTAAACAGAAAGTAGATGCAAAATTTATTACTAAACAGGAACAAAAACAAAGAACACAAAGAAAATTGGGTTGCCTCCCAACTAGCGGTATCGTTTAACGCCCCTAGCTAGGCATAAAAGCGAAGATAGATCTAACAAGTGCAATCTTTGGGACTTGGTTCATAAGTAGCCCGCATGATAGATTCATAAGGAAATTTGACTTTCTTTCTTGGAAAGTGCTCCATGCCTTTCCTTAACGGAAATTGGAATCTAATATTCCCTTCCTTCATATCAATAATCGCGCCAATCATTCTAAACATCCAAAAGGGGTAATATAATAGAATGGAACAATCAAAAATTATAGATACGTTGGAGACGTATCACGGGGCGGATTGAACCTTGGCGGGTCGCGCGCGCTGAGCCATCCCGATAATGTCGGTGCAGTTGTCCGGCTCAGGTTCCAACTTGCCGATCTTGCCGATGAAGACATGGATTCCGCCGAAGGGGACCCGATACCCGTATTCAATTGAATCGGCCTCGAGACCCCATTCTGCATCATCGATGTAGATTTTGCCACGGCGACTATTGGTCATCCGGCCCACGGCGTATCCTTTGATCCCTGATAAGCTGCCCTTCAAGAACTCGAAACCACCGTACTCTGGCCCCACGGTGGGCGCCAACTGTCATAGATTTAACACAACAAATGCCCTAGAGAAAGGACTTAGGTCTGGAGCCATCGCAGCTAGGCTAGCTTAAAGGGGTTAAATGGGACAAAGGACACAGAGAGTTTTACCCAGGTTCGGCCCCTCTCAACAAGGTAAAAGCCTACTCCTGCTTTCGATCTTTCGATTGTATTGCTTGTGTTTCGATTACCAGGGAGCGAATACGCTTGACCTAGTGCTCAATCGGTTGTTTTTCTTGAGTTAACCCGCCGCCGGGTCACCCCTATATACAGTTGATGCCCGGCGGCTTACAGAGTCCCAGTCGACTCATACAAACGTGATCGCCTCGGTTTCTAACCAAGTTTGCCTTATAGAATAAGTTAAACATATGGCGGCTCTTCCCTTTGGGCCTCAAGTCGCCTCTGGGTCTCGGGCCTTCAGAAAGCTTGCTTTATGAACCTCCATCTTCACATCTTCTTAGACCATAACAAGCCTTTTCATCTTTAAGTCGTCAGCGGCATGACCCGACCCCTCCTGGGCGGGTCATACCCAGTAGTTATATCCCCAACCCTACTCATACAGAAACGGCGGCGGAATTTTTGATGTTTGAACAACGGGTTTGTTGTGTCAATGTAGTCCTTCCAAAGAAGGAAATGCCCGCTCTCTCGGGTGTGATTCAACGCTGGAAGGTGCCCCAGAATGGAGCCACGAAACGACGGGCGCTGGCTATTGAGGTGGTGATGGACCAACACGGCAGCCAAGATCTCCTCCTCCTCATCGGACGAGGAATCGCCGGATTCGCAAAGGAAATTGTGAAAAAGGAACTCGTCGGCGGAGTCCATTTTGTACCTTGGCAAATTGTCGAACAACTTGTGGGCGTCGATGAAGGAGACGACCGACAAAGGGAGTCGTGCTGCCCTCGGACCAGCTAGCTGCCCTGGCAGCGTCCGACGAGCGTGTTGGTGAGGATCTGGACGGGGCGGGGCGGCAAGACAACGGTGGCGGGCGACGTGGGAGGTGGCGGCTTGCAGAAGGGATATTGCGGCCCCGGCAGCTGGCAGAGTCACCGGAGAAATGGGCGGCATGGGCGGCGGCGGCGACGACGAAGGAGGCGGGCGAGGGCTTGTTGTTGTAATGGGAGAGGATGACCAATGTACCACCGACCAGCGGGCCCGGGGAAGGCGTAGGCGGGCGCGCACGCATCCGTCGGTGCCACCGACCAGCGGGCTAGGGGAAGAAGTAGGTGGGCGCGCGCGCATCTGTCACGTGTCTGGGCTGACGCAAATCCGGCTAAAAAATGGACCGGGAATGGATCGGCAGGATGACGAAAAGCGGACGCGCGTTCGTTTGGATCGGCGCGTTGGGCTGACTTTTCTGTCCGCGCCGATCCAAACGGACGCGCGCGGAAGAAATGGGTTGCCGCGTTGGAGTTGCTCTTAGCTACTAGTACAAAACTAAAGGGTCTGCATGCATATCCCCCCTATTTTTACTCTTCACCACATAGGCTTTGGGCGCGGGTCAAAGCAAGGATGGATCGATCTGATGCTTTCCCGCGGCGACCCAACTCCGGCTCCACACATGCACCACATACTCGTCTACGCCTCCCCAACTCGCCACCACCTATTAATCTTCTTCCCCTTGCATGTCAATCTCGGTTCGCTCTGCGCGTCTCATCAGGTAGCCAGCCATGGCGAGCCTCCTCTCCCTCGTGCTGCTCCTCGCGCTCCTCGACACGTCGCGCGCCACAAACTTTGAGGTCGGCGGCGACGCCGAGTGGGTCGTCCCACAGGCCGGCGATTCCCAAACGTACAACCATTGGGCGTCCAAGAACCACTTCCACGTCGGCGACATCGTCCGTAAGACCCACCCACCGTCGTTGATCTACCGACATCTTGGTTGATAAATTGTTTTTTTTGTATGTGGCGTGATCGTGCTTGCGTGCATAGATTTCAAGTACAATCAGGACTCGGTGATGGTGGTGACGGAGGAGGGGTACAACAAGTGCGAGTCGTCGCACCCCATCTTCTTCTCCAACAGCGGTAACACCCAGGTGCGCCTCGACCGCCCCGGCCCCTTCTACTTCATCAGCGGCGTCACCGGCCACTGCCAGGGCGGGCAGAAGCTGGTCATCAAGGTCACTGACAAGGCCCGGCCACCATCGGGGCCCCCCAGCGGGGCCGCGCCGGCGGGCTTTGGATCCGCCGGCGCCATTGTTGTCCTGATGGCTGTGCTTTGGCCTCTTCTTGTTATGCATGATATTTGAGATGAACATCCATATAATGTTTTTGGAGCTTCATATTAATGGTTTTAGCTCCTTTCCATCATTCCATGTATTCTCGGTTCTCAGTCGTTCAACTTAGTTATAGTACCATGTAATGTACACGAAACCAAAAGGCTAATGAAATTAGTGCAACATTTTGAGAATAGCGGAGTTTCCTTGCATATTGCAGTCATATGTACTCTTTTTCTTTGTACATAGAGGCTAGACAAGTAACATGTGTTTGGACAAATGATTTATACACATATGGTGACAAATGGTTCTGTAATATGGACCGACGGATGGTTGCCTACTTGCTCCTTCTCTTCACTACGTGTCTTTCTGCAGCATTTCCTCCATTGGATTACTCGTCTTCTATTGTTCCTCATCATCCGCTCCGTTAGTAAGTCGCCATGGATCTCGTGGTGGAGCTCGGGCCTCCTCCTTCTTTGTCTTCCGCCTTTTTCTCCATGGATGGTGCCCCTTTTTCCTCCAGTGCTCCTCTCCATCGCCTTGGATCAGGCTCTAGAGCTCAAAATGAAGGTTCTTTGCGGTGTTATGCTCGAGGAAGATGGTGCCATGGTGGAAAACAGGCCCATTGTCATCCGACTCAAACTTTGCGGTGTTTAGTTTAGGGAGGTGTGGTATATTGTAGGGAGAGGGTTAGAACCGCCCTTAGAACTCAAAATGCCACCAACTCTTCCTCATGTTCTCTACGACGGGAAACTTTGCAACAGGTCATGATTAGCATGTTGAGATATACTTCCTTCGTCCCGATTTCTTTTTGCGGGGGAAACTTGAGAGCTTTATTAAGTAAAAGCATTCTCTATGCAGTCAGCCAAAAGGCTGCTGATCAAGAAGCTAGGAGTACTGTCTAGCCAACTCTCGGTCACGTCAATCGTGCAAGCATGCTTGGCACAGATATGAGCCGGACCGTTCGCTAACCTTGATACATGTTGGATTACAAAAGAAGTAAAACTACTAGCTAGCTCTCCAATCTCTACTATGATCGGTGCCACGACTGAGGATGAATCATGGCGATTGGTCCAGAGGTTTACAACCTCCTGGCAATCCGTCTCGAGGACGACTCTCGAAAAGCCCCTCAACTTGGCGAAGATGACACCATCTTTTGCTGCCATCGCCTCCGCGATGAGAGGATCTGTTACGCCTAGATATGGTTTGCTCCAAGCCCCCTGGAAGGAACTCAGTGACCTTGCAACTCCTCTGCCACCCCAACGCCTTCGTCTCGCCGAACAGAGGCGTCGGTGTTGATCTTTACCCCAAGCAGAATCCGGGGGTTGCCAACCATGTCCTGGCAAGACTAGACCATAACGAAGAGGTACGTCCAGGAGTGCGAGCGACTACCTGGTTCTCCGAACTGAATTCGCAGGATCAAGTATGTCTTCCCCATGTGTCAGCTTGTTTCTTGAGTGCCAAACAGACCACATAACCGAAATGATGTTAGCCCACTCCCGGCTAGTGAATTGATCCTCGCATATGATATCTCTGGCCGAATTAAATTTGGGACGGAGGTAATAGTAGTTAAGAAGCAGAAAAAATACGTAAACTGTAAAATGGCACCTCTCTCCGTAAACTGTAAAATTGAGTCGTAGTTAGAGCATCTCTACCAGACCCCTATCCTAAAAGTCCAAAACCTTCTCCTTGTTTTCCCCAAACTGTTATAGGGAAATGACTCTTGCTCATCTAGCAGATCCCTATCCAATTTTTTTTGTCAATTCATCAAAACCTTTGCTCAAATAATTAAAATAAATTGATCCCATTTCAACACAAACATAGACAACTTGAATGCACTACATAATAATTCAGTTACGAGCATAAAAAATGTTCATCGAATCCTTCAAACATAACCATAATTTTTGTCGAAAGGCACCGAATGAACAAGTTCATTCCAAAAAACCACAAACACATGATGGATCAAAATCCACTTCGTAGTTCAAATGAGACTCATGCACTCACGTCGTTGTCACCGTCGACAGCACCCTTACCGTCGCCACTACACATCTTATCAAAGATGTCCCCACGAGTAAACACCCATTACTGTCTCACCTTCTCGTCCATCTTGCTAGGATCCATCCACATGATAGCACGCTCCTCGGCCCTTGTTGTTGTAGCACTCCTCTATCCTTTACCAAAAGTTCTCCTTTGTTTGGAAGGCACTGAATGTGGCATCGAGAGAGATGTTGACCCAAGCTTCACACAAGCATTTGTCTTCCTTGATCTTGCAGTTGCACAACATACTCCTCTTCTTGTTTACTTGACTCTCCTCATCTCCTCGACCTCATCCACCACCATGGCCTCTCTCATTTTGCTATATGCTATTGACATGGCAATGCCATCAAAGCCATGTTTTGAGGCTTACATTCAATTTTTGCATGAAAAGCGGCCACATCATCATTTAATTGCTCACTACGAAAGTATACAAAGAACCTAGAAATCAATAGAAAATCATGCACCACTTTCCTAAGAAAATTGCAAATAAAAATGAAAAGAAGGACAAAGTGTAATGCTACTTCTTGAGCTTGAGTTGGTTTTTCCCTTGAAGAGGAAAGGGTGATGCCGCTAAGTAGAGATAAGTATTTCCCTCAGTTCGAGAACCAAGGTATTAGTCCAGTAGGAGACAACGCACAAATCACCGAATACCTGCACAAACAATCAAACAACTTGCACCCGACGCGATAAAGGGGTTGCCAATCCCTTCACGGTTACTTGCAAAAGTGAGATCTGATAGAGATAAAGTAAATATTTTTGGTATTTTTGGTTTATAGATCGAAAAGTAAAAGATTGCAAAAATAGTAGATCAGAAACTAATATGATGGAAAAGACCCAGGGGGCATAGGTTTCACTAGAGGCTTCTCTCAAGATAGCAAATAATACGGTGGGTGAACATATTATTGCCGAGCAATTGATAGAAAAGCGCAAAGTTATGACGATATCTAAGGCAATGATCATGAATATAGGCATCACGTCCATGTCAAGTAGACTGAAACGATTCTGCATCTACTACTATTACTCCACACATCGACCGCTATCCAGCATGCATCTAGAGTGTTAAGTTCATAAAGAATGGAGTAACGCATTAAGTAAGATGACATGATGTAGATGAATTAACTCAAGCAATATAGTGAAAACCCCATCTTTTTATCCTCGATGGCAACAATACAATACGTGCCTTGCTGCCCTACTGTCACTGCGAAAGGACACCGCAAGAAAAAACAATCTAGTTGGCCAAACCAAGCCGATAGTTTGAAGAGAATTACAAAGATATTAATTCATGCATATAAGAATTCAGAGAAGATTCAAATAATATTCATAGATAAGCTCATCATAAATCCACAATTCATCGGATCTCGACAAACACACCGCAAAAAAAGTATTACATCCAATAGATCTCCAAGAACATCGAGGAGAACATGGTATTGAGAATCAATGGAGAGAAGAAGACATCTAGCTACTAGCTATGGACCCATAGGTCTATGGTAAACTACTCACGCTTCATCGGAAGGGCGATAGAGTTGATGTAGAAGCCCTCCATGATCGAATTCCCCTCCGGCAGGGTGCCGAAAAAGGTCCCTAGATGGTATCTCACGGGTACAAAAGGTTGTGGCGGTGGAAAAGTGTTTTCATGGATGCCTCTGGTGGTTTGAGGATATATGGGAATATATAGGCGAAAGAATTAGGTCAGGAGGGTCGCGGGAGGCCCACAAGGGTGGGGGCGTGCTCTACCCCCTGGGCATGCCCTTCATCCTTGTGGACGCCTCGTGGCTCCTCCGACTTCATCTCCAAGTCTCCTGGTTGTCTTCTGGTCCAAGAAAAATCATCGTGAAGGTTTCATTCCGTTTGGTATTCCTTTTCTGCGAAACTCAAAACAAGGAAAAAAATAGGAACTTGCACTGGGCTCTAGGTTAATAGGTTAGTCCCCAAAATAATATAAAATATCATATTAGTGCATATAAAACACCAAAACAGATAATATAAAAGCATGTAACAATCAAAAATTGTAGATACATTGGAGACATATCAAGCATCCCCAAGTTTAATTCATGCTCGTCGTCGAGTAGGTAAATGAAAAAAGCAGAACTTTTGATGTGGAATGCTACCTAACATATTTATCCATGTAATTTTTCTTTATTGTGGCATGAATGTTCAGATCCATAAGATTCAAAACAAAAGTTTAATATTGACATAAAAACAATAATACTTCAAGCATACTAACAATGCAATTATGTCTTCTCAAAATAACATGGCCAAAGAAAGCTGATCCCTACAAAATCATATAGGATGGCTATGCTCCATCTTCATTACATAAAATATTCAAATCATGCACAACCCCGGTTTCAGCCAAGCAATTGTTTCATAATTTAGTATTCTCAGACTTTTTCAACTTTCAGGCAATACATGAGCGTCAGCCATGGACATAACACTATAGGTGGAATAGAATATGGTGGTTGTGAAGAAGACAAAAAGAGGGAGATAGTATCACATCAACTAGGCGTATCAACGGGCTATGGAGATGCCCATCAATAGATATCAATGTGAGTGAGTAGAGATTGCCATGCAACGGATGCACTAGAGCTATAAGTTTATGAAAGTTCAAAAAGAAAAACTAAGTGGGTGTGCATCCAACTTGCTTGCTCATGAAGACCTAGGGCGATTTGAGGAAGCCCGTCATTGGAATATACAAGCCAAGTTCTATAATGAAAAATTCCCACTAGTATATGAAAGTGACAAAATAGGAGACTCTCTATCATGAAGACCATGGTGCTACTTTGAAGCATAAGTGTGGATAAAGGATAGTAACATTCCCTTCTCTCTTTTTCTCTCATTTTTTCTTTTCTCCCTTTTTTTGGGCCTTCTTTTTTTTGGCCCTTTTCTCTTTTTTTTTAATTTCCACACATGGGACCTGATGACCCACAAGTGTAGGGGATCTATCGTAGTCCTTTCGATAAGTAAGAGTGTCGAACCCAACGAGGAGCAGAAGGAAATGA